AATCATACCCTAATGTGTATGTTTAATTTCCAATAATCTGGTCCTCTGGCCACAAATGCCTGTTCCGTCTTCACAGGTATGAGTCTCAACAGTCTTCCTGCTCTTCCAGTTTCTCTGCTCCTGGTTCACAGTCTCCTGGACTCACTCCCTCATTTTTTTTCCTACACTCAGGCCTGGGAGTCAAACCTATGGCCTTGCACATACTAAGCAAGTGTACTACCACTGAGCTACCTCCTCGACCCTCCTCACTCTTTCAATCATCCCAGATGTTTTACTGCCCTTCAACCATCCTGTATGGTCATGGTGTGCATTTCAGGTCATCCCAAATTGTGGACCAACTCTACACCGACTTAGGCCACTATAAACTGCCAACGCTAGTCTCACATTGATGCCAAACGCTGGAGCACAAACTTGTGGCTGACATCGGGTAAACATTCAGGTAATTTTAAGGAAGAGCCCAAAGGAGAAGAGAGTTTTCACTGGATTTGATTTTCTCAGGGACACATAGGGAGACTGAAGATGGATGGGAAGGAAGAGTGGGTAGAGAAAACAGGGAAAAGTACAGAATAATGCTCTACCATTTGGCTACTTCACTTTGAAAAACTTAACTGAATTATGCCATAGTGAAAAATGATCCTTTTACATTCTACAAACCTGAGTGTTTAGTATGTTCTCTGTCTGGTCTAACTTTTACATATTTAAAATTTACCAATAACGAAAAATTCAGTTAATTTTGGTGTACACGCTCAGTTAATTACTATTGCTCTACGAGAATGCAACTCTTCCCAAGCTAAGTTTTAAATGTTGCTATTGAAAATCTTTTTTGAAATGTTCTGGTATATAATTTGCAGAATTAATGGACAGAACTTGTAAGCATAATCTACTCTAAAAACAGAAAGGAAACGTGGGGGATATAGTGACACAGCACCTGCCTCGCAAACACAAGGTTCTAGATTCAATGCCCAGAACCACAAAAGAAAGGAAGAAAGCATATGGAGAAGTCAGAACACAAGGGAGTGGGAAGCCACCTGAGCCTGAAAAGAATGGCTGGGAGCCACACAGTGAGGCCCCAAAGTTGCCCCTGGCCCAGTCCCCCACTTCTCTTCTCCTACGAAGGACCATCCATCTGCCTCCAGCTTGGCCTCCTTCTTATTAAGCCATTCTTCAAAACCCAGCTGCAGTGATCGTCCCAAAGTATGCACCCAAGCTACCTACATGTGCTCCTCAGCACCCACAGGTGTACCTGCATCAGTGAGGTGATGCTAGACTTCCCTGTTGGGCTCTTCATATCTCCCACTGCCTACCTCACAGTCTCCCAAACACCCCCATCTCTGGAATTGTTAGCCTTCCTCTGTGCTGGGTTCAGTGACCTCCTCTGTGGAGCTTTCTTCAATTCTTCCAATATTAGAATCAATCCTTCTTTTCTCCAAGTGGCCTTTGTATGACCCAGTTTAGTTTCTACTGCAGAGGCCCCAGCTATGGACAACCTACTGTAAAAATTAACAACCTCATTCTTTTTTTTTTTTTTTTTTTTTTAAACTGGTACCAGGGATCGAACTCACGACCATGCGCTTGCAAGGCAGGTGCTTATGCCCCTAAGCTAAATCCCCAGCCCCTCTACTGAGAAAATTAACGGAAGTTTTAGTGTTCCCTAAGAATACAGATTCGGCATATTCTACTCTGTGTGCCCAACATCTACGAGGGCCTAGCATACCTTGGTTCTCAATGAAACATAAGTAGGCTGAGTTAAGTATTCTTTCCCATACTTTTTAAGTTCAAATCTATGAAGAAATCTTACACATGTGCTAGAATAACGTTCTGTTTGCTAAAACTAAAATAAAAATGAAGTCCACACACTTTGGGAGTGATCTGGGTCACCAAGAAGCACTCTTGAGAACCATGACAGTTAGCAAAAACACAGAGCTGACCCTGGGGACCTCATTCTATCAGGTTTTCAACGGAGGTGCTCTGCAGCTAGGATGACTCATCTGTGACTGTGACATGAGGATGACCACTAGCTCATGAGTCTAGTAGTTTCTTCAGAGGAACAGGCTGTGCAGGCTAAACTGAGAAACATGTGCTTAAGATGTGGCACATGAGCCGTCCTGTAATGGCTGGGAGAACAGCACAGGAAGTAGCATCTCCTTTTCCCTCTGAGTGTTGGGCAGGTACCCTGGGTTTGACTGGTCAGGAAGTAAAGGACAAGACATCCAGAGGAGGCATAAGTCAGCAGTATCAGAAGCAAGCGGCCAATGGCTAGACAGCTCTCCTTGACTGCTCAGATGCACTAAGAGTGGGGGACCACGCAGCTTTGCACCTGGGACTGTATCAGCCCCAAAATTATAGATGGCCAATAGTGTCACTCACACTGAAGTAAACTGAATCATATGGACAAATGACGTCTACACTCTGACCAAGCACCCAAAGGTACAATGTTGGGGTTAATGGAGGCTGGCCAGCAAGGGCTCTCTGCCAGTGCCAGGTGAGGTGCACGGTCCTCGCATAAAATAAAGCCTTCTGACTGAAAACATTCTCCCATCTCCACCTGATGAAACCCCATCCGAAAGAGCAGAAGTTTAGGATGAAGAAACATCCGTGTTCAAATGTTGCCTCTGCTCCTTATTAGGCTTGGCAAGTTTCGTCAAAGTCAACCAAGTCTTTGAGCTCCCATTTCTTCATACTGTTCTTGAAATTGGAGTACACCCCACTAGGACATGAACTTATCAGGATGAAAAAGCAGCTCTGCATTAGAATAAAACTTCTACTTTGTGATTCTCAGACTTAGAACGCTGCTCAGGTTCCCTGGGATTCCCAACATATAGTGCTGCAGCTCTTCCTGCTAAGGCTTAGGACCTATGCCCTACTGTTCACATTTCCACTGCGATGGCCAGTTCTGTGACAGGGAGTTGGCTACTAACCGCCCACCCATGAATGCTAAGTACAGGACACTCAGTTGGTATCAGCTGATAGAAAAACAAAGGACGCTGCTTTTCCAAAAAGGAGTGGTAGGGAGGGAAGAAAGACATGAATGGCGAGAAAATAAGGTGGTTCTTGGAGCTCAAATGCTGAACCAGCTGCTCTCTGACAGCCTGTTCCCACCTCCTCCTTGTGTCTGCTCCAACAAAGAGTGGGCCAGGTCTGGAAGGAGGGGGAATGAATCCTTTATTTAAAAAAAAAATTTTTTTAGAACAAACAAATATATAGCTATGCCAGTTTGTATTGTTTCTCTGGAAGAAAATTCTTAAAATCTCTAAGCGATTTTCCTGTACTCCATGGTGGTCCCTCCTGAACAGAAAAGCATCATTTATCATTTACACAGCTTCTGAGCCAGGGCTGTATGCCCTGCTGAGTTGACATGAAATACGCAAACAGTACAGAAACAGCAATTCATAACATCATAGATGGCAAAACAAAATGGTATCTAAACACTTCTTGGTACATCATTAATTCATTAGCTCAGAGAAACTAGAAACAGAGTCAGAACTTGAGCAAACACAGGGGTAGCTGCATCCACATAGAAAGTACCGCCCCTCGGGTTAAAAAGCAGAGTCTAGGGAGTTAGCGTGGTCTTCCACTGCTCAGCCAGTGCAGCTCCGAGCCAGCCACCATCAGCCACACGTGCGAGCCAGCGAGCCAGCATGCTGCCCCACTGTGAGGGCACACCCAGTGCTCCTTCCTGCTGCTAGTCCTGTGCCACAGCCAGCTTGCTGGGAGGTAAAAAATGTCAAAGGACTCAAAGAGAGCCCCAGTGCTCAACAGTGGGAGCTGAGAAATGACACTGTTTGTAATGTGCAACAAAAACACAGATTTAATTAATTTATTGGGGAGGGACACGTGGGAAAGGCCACACTGTGGTCTAAAAATTAATTTTTACTCTAGACCAAACCTCCTCCAAGCAAATCATAGGCCCATTTGCATTATTAGTTGGGAATTATGGAAAAATAAGCATCAGGTACATTCTACTGCAAATCTTAGAAGCAGGGAGAACTTGTATTACCAAATTATCAGCTGGGGGCAGTAGCATACACCTATGATCCCAGCTACTGAGGAGGCTGAGATAGGACTGCAAGTTCCAGGCTAACCTGGCCAACTTGGTGACCCCTTACAGCAATGTTTTTTTTTCAAAACATTAAAAGGACTGTGGACACAAGTAAATGGCAGAATGCTTTCACAGCATTTGTAAGACACTGAGTTCAATTCTCAGTATCACACACACACACACAAAAAAAGAAAAGTCTTCATTTTTGCTATTAAATGTATTTTAAAAGTCTGGAGAATGAAGTCCATATTTTTTTAAAAAAAATTTAAAAACTGCAAATGGAAGCACAAACATGAGTTGGATCAAGAACTTTTATGTCTCTAAGAACCATTTTTTTCTTGCCAACAGTCACATGTCAAATTTCACTTTTAATAAGAGTGTCATGTCCTTAAATAATATTAAGCAACGTAGAAGAACATAGCAAAAATACTCTGTATTGAGTCATGAAAAAGGCGTATTTTTATAAATATTCTTGAAAATTCACATCAAAAGCACAAATTAAAATTACTAAATATTTTTGAGAAGTAATTTCATGACCACTAAAAAAGATTTTTTTGAACAAATATTGTCTTTATTAACTTTGTCTCTCTGGATGGTCTTTTTAAAAAGGGGAAAAACTCTCCTAGCCCAGGACTGCTTGGTGGATATTTGAAGGTGTTAAAAAAAAAAAAAATCACATTTCTATGCTGAAAAGTTATCAAGACCAGCTCTCTGCTGCATTTGCATGTTATTAGGAACACAACCACGCACACATACACACACCCAGGCACACGCACACACGTACAGAGTTTAATGTGAGGCTAGTAGAGAAAGAGAGATTAGACACAAAGAATGTAAACAGCTCTAACATGCAAGGAAACTAGGTTATGAGAATCCCAGCACCAGGCATTCACCAGTCACCATGGAAAACAGGAAGTGAGATGCATAGCAACCACAAGCCAAAAAGCAGAAAAGCGCATACCTTTAGCTTGGAATGAAAATCACGAGATTTCCTTCTGGCAAGAACCTGAATGTGACTAGACACCTGCAGGGTAGGGGAAGGGAGGAAAACAAAGGAAAAGCCTGTAACCATGGAGATGAAAAGCCCCCTACAACTGGGCAAGCCAGACGTACCTTAATGGCGGCTTGAATTTCTCGAACTTTCTTTCTTGCTAAGACCTGTATATGACTAGACACCTACATTGTTCGGGTTTATGAAGGGAAACAAAACAAAACGAAACAAAACAAAACAAAAAAAGGAAATCAAATATAAAATCGCTACTCCTTGGGAGGGTTGGGGAGGGGGAGGTTATTTGCATCTCAACAAAGCTGAGCAGTTAGGAACACACAGTCCCGGCCAGACACCAAGCCCCCAGCACTGCTCTAAGCTCTTTAGACTGGGTCATCACTGCAGTGACTTGATTCAGGATGAAAATTAGGCTCATCTCCACTTTCCCACCTGGGAGCAATCATGGGCACTGGGAAAAGCTAATTTGGGGAAGGGTGAGAGGGGGAGAATAGGGCTGTTTGCTTTATAAAATTAAGAAGATGAGGGTGGAGGTAAATGAAAATATTTACAGCATCTCAGTATCAGGAGGGAAAATCCCTTTTCCTCAATTTAGAGGAGAATATCCATAAATTAGCACATTGTGCAGAAGCAAATAGCTGAAGCTGTCGGTAATATTCCAATCTCATTAAGAGCTCTGGATTCTGTAACAAATGTTAAAATAATACTGACATGTAAATTAGATCTCAAAGAGAAATGGAAAGACCCAGTTAGCAGAGTGGGTTTTCCCCCCCTTATAAAATATCTTTAATCCTTCCACTCTTTTGGGTATTGACTGGGTGCCAAGTAGATTTGCATATTATTACAAAGCAAAATGTGTGAATACAGCCAGCCAGCCATCCTGTTGAAAATCTGGGTTGAAAACCACATGGATTTGCTGAACAACAAATTCACACTGGAGAGGTATCACCAACTGCTGCCTAAAAAAACCCCAGGATGCTGGGGTGTGGAAACACAGCCAAGCCCAGCTTCTGAAACACAAGGGACTCCAAGGGATAGACAAATTTGCATCTCTTTTGGTGGGACTTGGTTAAATTTAGAAGCCTCCCCCAGTGCAGGGGTCATGGGCAAGTGACCAGAGCTCAGAGGCCAGCAGACAGTCCTGACCTACCGCTTGCAGTAGGTAGGGAATTAGTTCTGTCTGCTTTGGAAACGCAGAACCTTCCATTCACAAGTTAGCAACTTTGCAGGGGATTCCCTCATTTCAAACTCTAGTGACTCTAAAAAGATTTATGAGAACAAAAGAGCCTTTGATCTTTCAATTGGCCTCTGTGTTTCAATTATTCAGTCTTTTTCATTTTGCTTTGGTACTTTTTTCAAGTACAAAGAACTAGGGAGTCCCCCATTCTCTTCATCCCTCTGTCTGGCTCCTGCTGATATTTATTTTCACCTGAATTTTGTTGTCTGTGATTCTAGGAGTGGATGAGGGCCGCTATTGGGGAACATCCCCCAAGCAGACAATGCCCTGCCTCAGGGCTGGCAGGAGGCCACCCCATTCCTGCTGACTCAGCATCAGGTCCCAGGCACAGGGAACATTCCTGGGGAAAAGTCCCAGCCCCTGATCCACACTCAAAGAAACCACTCCTCCAGGGAGATGAAGCCAGTGTTACTAGTCTTAAAGAGACACTGTTGAGCTTTTTGTTTGATTATGTTTTTTTTTTTTTTTTTTTTTTTTTTTAATTTTGAAACTAAGTTGCCCACACTGGTCTCCAATGCATGGATGGATGGCTTCCTGCCTCAGCCTCCGAAGTAGCTGAGATCACAGGCTTGTACCACCAAGCCTCAAGCTTAGTTTTTAAGATCCATGCCATATCATTCAGCGTAAGTCAACATTAAAAATAGTTTTTAATCTGTTAACTCATGCAGGAGGTGTTTTTGTTTTCTTTTTCTGTTCTTACATTTTCCATTTTTAAACACCGATTTTTTGTTTGTTTTTTGTTTGCATTTTGAGACAGGGTCTTGCTTTGTGGTTCAGGCTGACCTTGAACTCCTGGTGATCCTCCTGTCTCAGTCTCCCAAGTACTGGAATTGTATAGTCCTGCTCCACTCAGCCTGGCTAAACAATCATTTTTTTTTTTTTTAACCCTTCCAGTACTGAACTGGGTCACACATCAGAGTTCAGTAGCTCTGTGTCTTACAGATGCAGCTCAGGTAGACTGCAGAAGGGTGAAGGAGCATTTGTAAGTTGTAACTTCATTTCAGTCCCAGCAGCCAACAAAAAGCCAACACTTAAGAAGGGACAGTGTACTTACTGGATGCACGTCATTCTGTTTATATTCAGGCCAACACTCAAAGCTTCCAACATTACTTTTTCATTGAAAGGATGATTAATATGATTAATGTTCCAGGCTGTTACAAAGCATAGATCTCAAAGCCTACATATCCCCAGGAGTTAAGTGGGGGAAATGTATTGCCATGATACCACATGAAATAAAAGACTCACTTTAACCAGTGAGCACAAACTTACAAGTGTAGTTATATCTTGCAGCATTTGCAATGTTGGCAGATGCATGTTTTGGGAAAGAAATATCAGCTTAGTAACATAGTGCAAGGACAGTTCAGACACCATCCTTAGCAGCCAACTTTTTCTACACTGGATGAAAAAAACTTGGGAGACCACAGACTGCAGGGTCACTGAAATGATGAACAGTGAAAACTGAGCCAATCTGAAACATCTCCAATGCTGACATCCTCAGAGGGATCTGGAACTGGGGGCTCCTCCGAGCCAAAGCACAGCAGCCACTGCAGCCAAATGCCTCTTGGGCCATTCACTGACATGCACACCGCCCAGGTGGGTTACTGTACCTGCTTTCTGGTCCTCGTCTTCCCTGTCCTGAGTTTGATGTATCTGGCTATCAATTCATTCCTACCTGAAAGAAAGAAGAATTTAAGATAAGGTGGGTTTTAAAAAACAAAATCCAAACCAGGGATTTTAAAATTGTGGTTACTCATTTATTCATGATAGAAAAATAAACAGTACAGCTCCTTGAAAAAACTATGTCTGGGGCTGGGGATTTAGCTCAGCGGCATAAGCGCCTGCCATGCAAGCAGGCAGTCGTGAGTTCGATCCCCAGAACCGATAAAAAAGAAAAAAGAAAGAAAGAAAGAAAAAACCATGTCCATCCACTGAAGACAGAAATCTATCTTTTAAAATCTGACTTTTTTTTGTTCGTTTACACGCCTGTATCTACATAAGGATAGATTCCTCTAGAAGTAAGGAAAACTCTGTTCTGTTTCAGTCTTTAATTTCTCAGTCATTTTCCTCCCCGTCCGGGCCTCTAACCATAGACTCCTCCACTAAAGAGTCCCTCGAAGCACAAGAGAGTAAATGACAGCCAGAGAGGCCCTACAAAATGAGGGGCCGAGCCCTGCTAAAGCAGGGACCCTAAAAGGAACTCTTCATTGCACTGCCTGCTGACTATACATCTGCAAGACTGCATGCAGAAGGGAAAAGAAATGACTCAACCCCCTCCGATCTTCGTACCTTAGCAGAGGAGGGGTGTGTGCCTGAAAAATACTTCCTACCACAGCAGGAGACTAAGCAGTCTCAAATAGGTAACTTGAAGAACTATGATCTAACAGGAAAACATATCCCCAGAAGCTATGTAGGGAAAGATATTGCTACCATATGAAGTCAATACAAACTTCACAAGCCCTGGGTCCTTTTAACGTAGATTTATGACTTCGATTTTCTAACACTAAGAACTGAAAAGATTTTTGACATACGCTGTACAGTAAATGAACACTTTCATTTGCTAATACTCCTTTACAGGTGGCTGAAGCCAGCTCCATCTTAATAGGAGCCTTTTTCGGTCAAGAAAGCTTCAGGTCTTCTGCAGTAACATTCAAACCCTGTTTGGACATCCTGACACTGTAGCCAGGTCCTACTTCTCTTTCGAAGCCACTTTAAGGTCACAGCCTCAGAGAAATCTTTGGAAACCACTCAGCTAAGTTTGGGCTCCTTGCTCAGTAACACACAACCCTACTGCAACACAACCTGCATATCACCTTCCTTGCTAAAATACGCCAGCCACCATGGAGTAAGCTATGTGACTCGTGTTTGTGGTGTGAATTCCCAGACATACTGCACAACTGAACAGGGCAAGACTTTTATCTTGTTACCCCAGTCTCAAGGGCAACACCAGAAGGCGATTGGAATCGTGGAATCTTATGACGAGGCAGTACCTGAGTCACTCATTTCCACCTCTGAAATTCTAAGTCCTCCATAAGCTTAAGCCAACCCTTTGAGAAATGGGGCAGTAGCCCATTGTATTTTGAAATATACTCAGGAATAAAAAGGTTCTATTTATACGGGGGTTCACGTAACTTTCATCCTCAGATCCTACTTGCTCCCCTAAACAAGAACAAGGCTGGTCCCTTGTGCATGTGGCTGGCTGCTTTTCAGGTCCTCCTGGAGTCATACACAAGCTGAACCTCCTCTGTGCTTTTGTTATCTGTGTGACAGGCTTTGGAACATTCCCAGATACTATCCTGTGACAGTCCTTTGTCTGTTTTCCTTTCAGAACCTGGCATCCAGAATGGTAGGAATAGTCCTGCTACAATAGCAGAGTATGTTTATCCTCTCCTCCTCCTAAACACTCTACTGTTAATGCAATGGAATATAGAATTAGGGTATTTTAAGGACCTCGATAAACTGTCCAGTTACATCAACTTGAATTCCTATGTCTTATTTACAGCGGCTTTCCCTCAGATACATCTCTGGTGCTTGGCCTCAATAACACCAACTGTCCTTGTAACTACGGTGTGTGGGTCTCCGGTCTACACAACACAGTCTTATTCTGTGGCCGTAATCAGAATTCTGGTCCATTAGAAATGTGAACCTCTGAGCCTCTAGCCCCCACCTCAGTTCTACTGGAGGTTGAAAACCTTTTATCTGAAATGTGTGAAACTAGATGTATCTTGCTCTTTTTTGGCAGGAGTGGGGAGAGATCCATCTGGTCTTGTTCCCAGTCTTTCCATGCATCGCTGGGATTTTCAGACCCAAATACAGAAGCTGACATTTATTTCCAGTGCATTTCATCCTGTTAAATTCGGCCTATCATTCCAGCTTGTAAAAAACCTCAGCTCCTGATTCTGTCACCAAATGTACCTGTTAAGGGTATAGAAAAGGACCTTTAAATTCAGTTTCAAAGATTGCTTCCCTAAGTATTCTCTTTCAAACTTCTAAGAACTACCAATATCTCCTGTAGTGTCATCGCGTCTACTTGTCCATCTCTCAGATGGCTGTACAGATTTTTCAATTTGTCTCAAAGGCCGGCTGACAGCAGAGCCCAGCCACGAGGCCTAATTACCAGAAGTCAGACCTAAAAGACAATGTCTGCGGCTGAGCCAAGCATCCTCCAGCTCAGGGCTGCACAGTGCACCCTGTGCGGGGCTGTCTGAGTGGCCAAGGCAAATAAATCCAAGGCTCTGTATGACATGCAATTTCATCGAACCTTGTTCCAGCCAGCAAAAGAAAAATCTCCTCCTGCCCCAAACTCATTTTCTGCAAATGCAGACAGAATGGTTTGATAGGGGTGACATAAAACCTACAGCATTTTTAAAATTTCTGATGGCACTTGGTTGAATGAAGGAGACCCATGTCCAGGATAGATACACTGGGTGACGGTTCTTACAGTCTAAGCAAATGGGGGCTGCTGCAGTTAAACACTGTCACACTTTCAATCCTACTCCTATTACAGCTCCTAAAAATCACTGCTTCTACTACTACAGGCTCTTCCCAAGACCAAGAGCTTAACTGCTATCCCTGTTCTGTGGAAAGCAGGTATCCCTCCTTTTGTACCATGTCCCAAGCCATGAATAGTAATGATTTAATTACTCTAAATGTTAGAACTGTCTGCTCTAACAACTCACAGGCACCTAATAAATGCTTCAATATTGCTCACAAACGTAGTAAGATTTCAATCTCCCTAATCTAAATCAATTACTTCATTGTATATCTTAATTTGAAAATACAGGCTAATGTGTTGCCTAGACAAAAACTCCTTTAAAATAATTATTTGAAATATCAAACATACAAAAATCTTTAAATCAAAAGCATCAATGACAGCTTTGGTTCTATTAAAATTTTCTATATTTAATTTTAATTTTCCTAGAATTAAGATATATTTGGCCATTAGGTAAATAAGTAGGTAAACACCACTCCAAACAATTTTGGAATATCTATTGGACTTCTAGGGGTTGTGTATACACTGGGATATCAACTAGGTTCAGTTTGAAGTCTTCTCTGCTGTCCTTATAAGACACTGGACTCAGATGTGAATTTTACAGCTCTGTTCTCTAAATGAGGTGGGCTGAGATATTCCACAGGCCCTAGGTTTTGAATTCTGTTACTAAAGCGCAGAATTCTCCAATCAAGGACCAAGAGTTCAATAATACTAACCATCACCCATATAACTGGGATAACAAGCCACAGTGATTCAGGAAATCTTCCCCAAAGTACTGGAACAAAAGCCAGATCGTTAGCGACAGACATTTCCTCTAACACTTTATTATGAAACACTTTAGACACACAGAAGTTTCTTATAGAAAGAATTTTATCCTGAACACTATATCCCCTACCTAAATGCTACTATATTGAATATCCTTATGTGAAACACGTGAAACTATATGTAATTTGCTCTTTTGTTGGATTCTGGAAAATTTCCATACAGTGAGTAACATGGGAGACAGAATCTAAGTGTAAACATGAAATTCATGTATGTCTCACATACACCTTTTACAAAGAGTGTGAAGTAATTTCATACACTATTCTTGTTGCACCTTTTTTTTACCTGTGACTTGTCACATGGGCCAGGCATGGAATTTTCCACTTGTAGTGTCTGCCAGCACTCAAATATTTTGGAGCATTTCAGATTTTTGGATTAGGGGTGCTCAGTGTGTAAGCATTTTTTCTACTCTTACTCTACTACCTCTCATTCCATCTATCACTTCTCTATCCATTCAGCAACCTATCTTACTTAACTGTTGCCGTCACCATTTCAAAGTTGCTGGTATGATAACACTTTTGCCAAATACTTCAGTGTGCATGTCATAACTAGAGAGGAAGATGCATCTGACAAGAAGAATGCAAGTGACGTAAGCTGAAGACCAGGGATCTTTACCTTCTTTCTCACCCCAAGCTCCCTATTCCCACCACAGGCTCTCCTTCTGAAACCAGGTGTCTCCAGGTCACACGCATGGCATCAAAGCCATTCCCAGCTCATTCTTGAAAAGAAATGAACAGCTTCTAGAGCTGAGGGGTCATGTCATACTTCACCACTTAAGCGTCACCACACTACAGCTTCTCTGGAGCACAAAATACTCTGCAGAATTGCACAGAACATCCCTTCTCCAAGGTTGAGCAACATTTCCACTTGCCCTGGTTTTTCCCACAGCCAGCTACAAAGATTAACACTGCCTGAGCCGCACCTCACCAAGCACAAAAATCAACTGACTTGATTTTTCCTTTCTTTTAAGCTGCATGACACAACTGAAAGTGAGCCCATCTCTGGCTTCCCTTGCATCCTGGGTTTGGGTGACATTTCTTGATAAAGGAGCAATATAAAGAGAGAGATTATAGCAAAAAGACACAGACTGTGCTGGGCTGGCCTCACCCAGACTGAAGACTGGTTAACGTTGTTGTGGGCTGTCTGTGTAATGGGATGTGGCCTCAGGGTCATGTTTGAGGCACAGCAAATGCAGGGTCTGTGGCTAGAAATTGTAGCCCAGAGACTCAGCTTTAACACAGTAAGAGCTACTTTGTAATTGAATGGAGTCTGGGAGCCACAAAGAAAGAAGCACAAATGGAATATTCCTCTTCCCTGGCTGCAGCCAGGCCTGAGGCAAACCTACACCCTGCTAGGGCTGA